CCGTTGATTGTTGTTTACATTTACGCTTCATTTTTCTCATCAAATTTTGTTTTTTTTCGTATAGTCTTTTTTGAAAACCTAATCTAGTAGAGGATGCAAGAAGATGAACGGTTTGGATCGTTGATACTATGTTCAGAATTTTACGGTTAGTGAAAATATTGCTTGATGTTTGTAAAGTTTTTACAAACTATATTACATCGACTCAAATTTCAGTTAACCTTAAATATCAAAACGTAATATCAAAGATCTAAACCGTTCATCTTCTTACATCCGCCATATGATCATGCTTTCAAAAAGGAAAATTTTAAAAATGAAATTCAGTAAGAAGAATAAAGCATAAATGACAATCGACGGTTAAATATAAATTTAAGGTTTATGGATTATGGTGTTTGATTTTGAAGCTGACATCTTCATGAAAGTTGTAAAGCTTGTCACTATGAGTAATTATATATATATTTTTTTTTTACATTTTTTACACTTCTACAATAATTATTATTAATTTTATTAATTTTGCCCTCAAATAATTATATGAATAAATACATAATATAATATTAATAATATTAGTAGGTACGGTATACCACCGGTACTGGTTTTGGATACCAGTACCGTATCGAAATAGTATGGTACGGTACAAATACCGTACCATTACCAATTCGTACAAATTTTTGGTAATAATTTGGTATGGTATGGTTGGTAGGGCGGTTGGTATGGTAATTTGGTAAAAAATTTAATCCCTACATGTATGTAATATTATTCGGAGTTCATTGGTACGTTTAAAACATTATCTTTTAATTTTTTTAGTTAAAAAGTATCACCTTCTTTTTTGCAGTCACAATTCAAGGTTTTTTTTGTTTCTTATTGTTATAGAGATTTATTGTTTTTTTTTTCTTTTGAATTATATTGAACTAATGGGACATAAATTAACAAGATCTTTTCAAAATAGGAGTTTGTTATATTTTGGATTTAATTTGTAAATTAATTATAATGAAAATTTGTATAATTTGAACTTAATTAGTTAAGTAATTAAAATTGTAGGAAGTAGTTTGATCAAATCTCTAAGGGGTGTGTTATCCACACACCCCATTTTACTTCTTACACACCCCTTGATAATTTATGTTCGTTGATCTTCTTCAATTCATCTGATCCGACGGCAAAATTAAAAGGGTATGTGAGAAGTAAAATAGGATGTGTGAATATCACACCCCATCTCTAAAAGCCTAAACTATTTGGTCTAAGAAATCCAAAAAACCAAACACCTGCATCAAAAGGCACCAAATTATTAGTACCTTGTATGGTAAACAAACTGAGTTTTATTTTTTCTTGGGAAATGGTCTGGACGTGGAATTAACTAATTCTGATTGTTCTTTTTTTTTTTTTTTTTTTGTCAAAAGGTAGATTTTATTAGATTAAATGTTAGATTAGCCAACGACGAGATGACACATCCCGACCCATATCAAGTCGTGCTAGCCGTCATGTGAGGGTGACGTAGCCATATGCACAGTGCGGAAGTAATAAGCATAAAAGAATACGAATAAATAAGTGTGAAAACACTATAGTCAGAGCATAGATAACCTAAGTGCAGTCCAACAAGACAAATACTAATTATACAATACCAAAGGTGGTCCTACATTAGTGATAATCTGTCAGAACTGCCGTCAATTCCTCGTAAGCCACCAACAAGCACTCATTCCTAAAACCTAGAGGAGCGCAAAACAAAAAGTGTGAGTGGGCAAAAACAAAGTTTTGCAAACCATTTCACTTATCAAAGGTAATAACCCCTCGCTGTAAAATCTGTATAATTTCCCAGGATTTAGAATACATATGTATATAGAAATCATGCTCGAAAGCAATGAAAACCAAGTATATGCCATATCAAGTATCTCAGCAGTAAATGTGTAAGCTAGGTGATATAATTCCATACAAAATGTATGTCAGCCAAAGTCACCTAACGTGACCTGTACAGCTAAATTTAGAGCTCATCCATACAACCGGAGTCACCTAACGAGACTTGTATGGCTGAATCCATATCTCAACAAATATGCCTACACACGAGTCGGAACCACCTAAAGTGATTTGTACAATAGGACTGGGTGTAAATAAATACGCTCAAGTGCTACGATCAAGTGAAGACTGCAATCACCTACGAGTCGGAACCACTTATAGTGGTCTATACGATAGGACTATGTACCTAACTTGGATCCAAGTTGAGCGTATGGTGCGGGAAGTGAATATCACGTGAAGGAATGTGCCTTAACCACGGGCAGGAGCACTAACACCGGGCTGCAGGTTTATGAGCTCAAATACATCTTAACATAATTATGCAACTCACATCCACAATCTATAAACTCAGCTGACACTTACCTGAGCCCTCGCAGTGTCAACAACAACATATGCAACTACTAAATACATATTCTAAGTATAAGACATTTGGCATGACATTTCAAAACATAGGAATCATTTAAATCAATTTTCTGGGAAAAAATACCAAGCATATATATCTAATATATATATATATACTGAAAACCAAAAGCCCACTCACTAATATGTGAAAGGGTCGTAACCCCCGAGTCTCGCTTGACTGCACTATTCCTCTGGAAAAGTTTCACCTATATGTGAAACAACTATTTTAACGTTATTTTTAAGCACATAAACAAAACTAGGTAAAAACTTCTCATACGTTGCTCAATTAGGGTATTTGAATATACCATCGTGGCCTACTCAACCCCACAAATATCCCCATATTTTAGAAAAAATTTCTAAGTTCCCACAAGCCCTCATGCGCTGGCCAAGGCACAACCACATGCGTCGGCCACGCGCAGGCACGTACCTGGCACACGGACGAAACCTTTAACGCCGTTAAAGAATATTCCGTTAAATAATGGAATATACCGTTAAATATACCTAACGTCATTAGGTATATTCCATCAAACTTGACGGAATATTCGTCTTCTTCTCCGGTAGTCCGCCGAATTCCGACGCCGGCTGTCGTCTGTGTCACTAGTTTCTGGAAAAACTTCAAACCTTAATATCTCACTCATTTCAACACCAAAATTCATGAAATTTAAAATGAAGCTCTCAACTAGGAGAACATGATCTTATCGCTTTGGAGTCCTAAAACCAACGGAATCTCTTCGAGAAATTTCGTGAAAACTGGCCAAACTTGAAACTCAACAAACCCTAGCGTCTTGACGTCCAAAACCTTCCAAAATTCTTCTATAAGCTTCGTGAAGAAGTTTTAAGACTCCCTAGGACCCTAAAACTCGACGAAACATCCGCGATCACGACGGAGTAACAGTACACCTCGTCAGAGCTCCCTGGTTCTCGAGTTTCCGAAGTCCTCACGTCTAACCAAAGCTATAGTTCGACTCCTGAGCTTGAAAAGAGCACAAAAATAAGGTCCACAACCTCGATCCGTGAGTGATGAAGTGGTTTGAGGGAGTGACCGTACGGGTTGTATGGAAAATGGAAGAAAATTCAAGAGGGAGAGAGAGGTCAACGGGTGTGTGTGTGTGTGGTCCAGGTTTGGCCAACCAAACAAAACAAACAAAAATCTTAACTTCCAATTGGGTCCAAATATTTAGGAAGGAAAAGAATTGGTCCCAAACCTAAAGGACAAAATACTAGTAATTTCCATGCTCTCAAGGACAAAATAAATACATATTCGGGACGGGTTGTCATACGAGATTCGAACCCATGCAGTCATGCAAGGATTAAACACCTTTCCATCACTATGGTAAAGGGCCACTTGCAACAAATTCATATTATTGAAATAATTGAAATGGTTTACATATTTATAAAATATTGGTGACGTTAGCGATCAATTATTGACGTCATATTTATAAAATTCAGAAAATTGACCATTTCAACAATAAACGAATACAAATAATAAACTACAAAATGAGTATAATAACTGATAATATGTACGTGTATTATCTAATAAAATTGCAAAAATGTCTTGACAAAAAAGGCTCTTTTTAATTTTTATAATATATTTTTAAATTATGTTTTTAATATTTCGAAAACACGTCATAGAATATGTAAATTTTATATGTATTATTAAAAATGTATCAAAACGTGTATTAAATGTGTATAGAACCTATGTGTATTATATGTGTAAAGTATATTAGAGTTTTAAAAACATGCAATATAAGGAATTCTCATGCATCTTTATTTTTTATTTTTTTATCAAAAAATTCTCATGCATCTATGTGTTAGAGCAAAAGGGTTCCTCAAGGTTGGAAAGGACAAAAAAAACTCCAAAGTAAAAAAAAAATTACAGCTCCAATTATTTCTTCATTATATATAAGCATTTCTCTTGTATGACATATATAATTAACAGTGGAGCTTGATAAACATACTGCATCATGCATGCCTGTTCATTACTATATAGTTAGTCCACATGAACACTAAGTTTCATTCCATTTTCACAATAGACAGGCGGAAAAGGTGCGAAGTAGATTGTGCCTTTCTCTATAATTACATGATTGTTTCCTGAATTGTATACATTTATGAGGCCCCGTGAATATATCTCACACTTGTCGAAAAAGTACTTTTCCCGTTGAGCAGCTACAATACGAAAGGGCTCTTTATTAGTGGTGGGCCAACTGGTAGAGGAATCGCGGGTTGTGGCAGGTAGTGTAGGTTCGGGATGGGTATGGACCGAATCCTTTTTTTTTTGGGAACAAATGGGTCAGGGTGGAGCAGGCCATTGTTATTTACGGGGCAGGTCGGTTCCTAAACATTAGAAAAACGGGGCTCCGGACCAACCCATTTTTAATTATAATCAACAGTTGAGATTGAATGATAACCTATCATCGAATCTGAACCCCTAAACCCTAAAGCCATTGTTATTTACGGGGCAGGTCGGTTCCTAAACATTAGAAAAACGGGGCTCCGGACCAACCCATTTTTAATTATAATCAACAGTTGAGATTGAATGATAACCTATCATCGAATCTGAACCGTTAATTTCTAACCCAGGTTTCCAGAATCAGTTTCAGTCTCACTCTCTCACTTCCACCTCTCCACCATCCGTCACTCCCTCGACTCCCTCGACTTTGACGACATCCCAGAGAATGCCCATCACCGCTGCCGTGACCAACACAACAACACCACCACCACCCATCTAGCCATCCTCCGACCTCGACAACATTCGTTACTTCGCCGGCTACTGTAAGTCTACTTCTCCGAATTTTATTTTTGTTGATGCGGATGATCAGTAGCATGAATAATAGGATTTGATTAGAGACTAAATCTTTAGGTGGGAGTAGTTTGATGAATGCATGAACATTTGGGTGAAGGAATTGTGGATATGTTTGGATGGGAGTGGGATTTGGGATTTGGGATTTGAGAGTTCTGATTTGTGTTGGGATTTGGAGTGTTTGGTTATTGATTGGAATTTGGAATTGGGATTGGGATTGGGATTGGGATTTCAATCTGAGTAGGCAATTTTGAATTTAATTGGAATTTTGATCAAGAACAAGAACTGCATTTTTCAGATTTGGTTTTTTTTTTTTTTTTTCCCCTTCTTCTAGTTTTTACTTACTTCCTTTTCCTTTTTAATTCCTTAATTATAAAATTCAATTGCCAACCTCTGTTTACAAAATGTCGATAAACTGTAAATTGATTTCAAGTAAAGGCTTATATTCTTTGATTTCATGGAGATCTTACTTGATCATCTTTGATTCAAGTAGTCCCTCCCTGCGTTTTGATCTTTGTGACTGGAAACTGTTGGGTTTAATACTTTGAATCTTATTTTCTTCTTATGCCTATATTTGGAAATTCCTCTTCTCAGCTTTTACTTTGTATCCACATTTTGCAGACGTTTTTGGTGCGGTAGCTGAGTTTTTTTGCCCTTTTCTTGGGAAGAACAAACACACTCAATCAGATTGTTGGCTGCATACTCGTAGCTACAGGTGTAGCAGCGGCTGTTTCAAGGTACCTTGATCGATTCTTCCACAGATTAAAGAGCTGCTACTGTGTTTGGTTATATTTAATATTGTCTGGTTCTTCTGTCAATTAAGCTGAAGAATATGTGATACAGATCTTTTGAGGTCATTATTAGCAGTCACTTAGATGTGGTGTACTTTAAAGTCATGCCATGCCTACAAATGTTGATGGTCTGCATACTCATGCATTGTGTTCCAGATAATAACAAAGGAAAGACCAGAAGAGTTGAATGGTCTTAACGATATACTAATTACATTTATCTGTCAATGTATCTGTCATTTGTATACATATGATATGCTTTGAGTGCGGGAGTTCATGTTTGAATCTCGATATTTCATACTAGAATGGTACCGAAATGCAGGTTGAGCCATTGAGGAATTGACTTCTCTTGTCAAAGACAATCTTACTTGCAAGCATCTTATTCTCTCAATGGAAGAGTCCTTGGTGGACTTCCTTCAGAGTTATACCAGGCATGTAAGACAAACTCCTAAGTGGTATTACCGTATTAGCATTGCCATTTCTTATGAGATTAATTTTAGAATAAAATATTAAAATTATATGGAGCAGGAGTGATGCAATTCCTTATAGATTCAATGAGGAATGTTGTTGGATGGACTTCGGAATTTAGATGTCTTGGACTCTCAGATATTTTGTATGTTGATTTGATCTTTAGATGTCTCTCGGATGTTATTTTGAATGTCTCGAATTTAATGTATCGAACGAGGTTGGACTTTGTATTTGGATTTGAATCTGTGCAAATCTGTGCAAATGTGAATGAGTGAATTTGCTGAGGCCTGGGAATGAATTTGAATCTGTGCAAATGTTACTCTTTTTTTTTTTTTTTTTTTTTTTTTTTTTGTAATTTATAATATATATATATATATATATATATATATAACCAAAAAAAAAAAAACCAAGGACCTATGGACCCGGCCCGTTTCAACTTTTTTTTTTTTTTTGTAATTTATAATATATATATATATAACCAAAAAAAAAACCAAGGACCTATGGACCCGGCCCGTTTCAACTGGGCCAGGTTAGATCCGGTTCCTATATTAGAATCCGTTATCCCTAGCCCGACCCATTTCCTTTGCATACAGGTTCGGCCTAGTTCCTCTAAAAATAGGCCCGGCCTGACCCGTGCCCACCCTTACTCTTTATATTTGAAAACTGTTTTTGAATTAATTAGTGAACAAACCATCTAATCAATCAAATATGGTAAATATATAAACTTGAGGAATCGGATGCATGAACACAAATCGAAAAGAAAACCAAAGAGTCAGTAATTTTACCCAAAACATCTCCAGCCTTGAACTTCTTGCCCTCGATGCACTGGGTTAAGTTAGCATCGGGGCTCCATCCTTTCTCATCCCCCACTATATATTATTTTCTATCAACTTCTTCGCATTGGAGCAGCAAACAGCTGAAAAAAAGACCGATTCCAATCACCAAAATCTTGTTCATTCCAACTGCCATCTTTGATCCGCAAACAAACAAACCTTACATCTAACCTTAACCTTTCTCTATCAACTCCAAATACAATTAACCACATTACAAATCAATTTATACAACATGGAGCCTATTACGCATTCAATTTGTTTTGATTTGGTTCTCCAAATGCCATATGATATTTCCATAACTAATTATCACATTTATTCAATAATTATTGAAAATATATTTTCCTTATTCTTCTATTATGCTTTTGTATTTCAACTCATAATCGGAGTCAATTTCTGAAATCATGTTAACTCCTGATGATTTTGTACTATTTTAAAGATTTCATTGAATGGGTGGGTGATCCATTGAAAATTTTGTAATGATTTTATGCCCTTTAATTTTGACGTCAAATACTTGACCATTGCCATGTGGGAATTGGTTTCCATTAAGACGCCATATGGTGCCACTCGTAAGAAGGCGTTTTAGAAAATAGGGTCTCAAATATCAGCAATTGTGTTTCCCTATAGTTCATTTAGTTTTTCATTTTTTTTTAGTCTAAATTTTTTATTTTATGACATGAATGTCAGTTTGGATTGCTTGGATGATATTGGTTTGTATGAAGCATGTTACATTATGTTGTGTGTATTTGGTGCTATAGTGAATGTTGATTATTGAAACGATCTTGTGACACTAAAATTTAAGGAAATTTTGTTTCCATTCGTTTCTGCTAAGAATGAATTCTACATTGATAAGAGGAGAAACCTTCTATAGTTAATACGGAAATTTTAGTTAGGACCTTCCTTGGTTGGTTTACTAGCCATAATGACTAAACACCCAGGTGGGAGACGATTGAAGTTTGTTTGCTGCTTTGTCCTCGGAATTAATCATCGTGCACCCATATCGAATTAAAATGTATCTATATTGGCATAAAACGTAATGAAAGGTTTTAAGATTACACATAACTTGCCATTAGTTTTTTACATACCAAAATTATGATAATATAAACATACCAATAGTTTGGTATTTATCTAAACAGAAATTACGTAACCTATCAAATTCTAATTTGTATACAAATTTGGATTACAAAACGTACTAATAACGTACCAAATTATTGGTACATTATTTTTCAAATATATATATATATATTAGTCTAATTATTTTTGGTGAAGCCTTGATACACCAAACTTGACTTCTGACTTTCTAATATTCTAAATTATAATAATTTATTGTGAGAAAATTTCAAATTTGGATGAAAAAAAAAAAAAACATATTGCAAAAGCCAACAAAGCCTAACACAAGTGAATAGTTTTAAGTTAAGTCACCTAAATTAGGAGAAGTTCTTCTATCTGAAAACTGGACTAGAGCCAAAAAGAGAAAGGATATGACCGGAGAGCGGCGCATGTGTGGATCTAGGAATCAAGGACGCATAGTAGGTGTGAATTTTTGTGTCTTGGCGATATAATTTCTCCTAAATTAGAGTTGTCGAGGATCACATTCACAAGCTTCAAGGTTTACTCTAAAGTCGTCTAACAAACTATAATCAATTATAAACCAACTCATGTAAGAGAAGCATATGTTAGAACTTAGGGACTCACTAGAAATTTGTGCCTGCGCGTTACTTCGGATTGAAAATTAAATGAAAGATTATGTTTGAAAGATATAAAAGTTAAACAACAACGACTAACCCACATGCCAATCCTACCAGAAGGAGGTTATCATAATTCCAAGTGAAACAGAGATGAGTAATTCTAAGAGAAAGGCCATCACATATAAATGATACATTATGATACATTATGAATTTCCCGATCAGAAAATGCACTCCTCACAAAGGTCTTCCACTGGACCAATATTTTCCTTGGGCTCTGATACTTGTAATCCAGCCCAATTCCATAAACCCAGCTGAGTGGCAGTCTTGTAAATAAACGAAATGCACGTATTGTTACTTTAGCTTATGAACAGAATTCCGCCCACCCAATCCGAGCCCAAAGAGCAGACCAAACTCATCATCTTTTATGAAGGAAAGCCCAAAACCGAAAAGATCAATGGCAATGTAATTAGATTGAGATCGAGTGCCCATTCCATATGCAACATGAATAGTGCAAATTCTTTTCCAACTTTAGACTTAAGTAATATGCTAGAATATTCTCATCACTCGCCATTCCAATTATTAGTACACCTTCCTTCCTTTCCTTCCTTGTTGATTTTCCACGTGGCAAAATTTGAAAACGTTCAATATTGAAACATTTGAATGCAGAGGGAGGAGTTCCTTTGACAGAAAAATAAAAAATAAAAAAAATACATGATCAAGCATGTGTTTTATAAAAAAAAATTTCTTAATTACAAACTTTGAATATTTGAATGCAGAGGGAGGAGATTCAAACTTAAAATTTCTTAATTACAAGTAAAAAAGAATACTACTATGCTATAGTACTAAATGACTGACGTATTCTTATTAATTAAACCTTTTAGAAAAAGACAATATAAATGTGGTGATTTCGAAGAGTTGCTTTGTTTGGTATATTCTTATTAATGAAATCTTTTTAGCAAAATACTTAATCAGGAGGCCATATTATGCCCCTTCTAAATCTTCTTATCCAAGTAAAAAATACAGGAACAACACATAGATTAACACAAGGATCTAGCAGTTACCAATTACTTATCCTCTCATTAACCATGTAATCAACTTCTATCTTCCACATTAACATTTTTTTACTAAAAAGAAAAAGAAATTAAAATTGTACTATTATTAGAGGAAAAAATAAGAGCAAAAGAATTGAAGTCAAATTAACATTTGTATTTCATGCTTGCGTGTTCCTTTTGTATGCATGTTGTGTTTCTCTACAATTTGTCCATGAAGATTTATTGTTGTTTCCATAGTTTTTCTCGAGCAACTGTAGTTAAAAAAGGAACAAAAGCAAGTGCGATGAGATGTGCTGAATGGCAAAGCAATGTAGAACGACATCGGCAGAGGTGTGCGTGGCCGAGGGGTTCCCAAGCCAGGGAAGCTCAAACAAACTCAAGGATTGTTTTATTCACACCTTACATATTGTTGACTATACAAACTTATTTAATACACTCCGCACCTACTTTTTAAATTACAATTTATCTTAAAATACCCCAGATATTTTTCAATACCACCCTCACACTCTACACTTTTCACTCCACACCAACCTCTATGCTTGCTTCAAAAAAAAAAAAAAAAACAAAAAATTGCGTGTTCATCCCACAAACTCATTTTCTTTCTTCCTGGATCTCCAACTAAATATATAATAATTAGAGTTTAGTTCAATGTAATCTCTTGCCTGCTATGTATAAATGTATAAAATAGAGTTCCTTTGGGGGTAGGAAAATCTTGCAAAACACAGTTTTTCTTGTTTCTCGATAAAGGTATTTGTGTTGTAAAATTGACTATGTGTGTACAGTGGAATAAATAAAACAAGACACAAAATTTACGAGGTTCCTCTACAGTCAGTGTGACTGGAGTACGTCCTCGGGCAGCAGTGATGCTTTCATTATAATTTGGAATAATAGGAGTACAAAGAAAACTCTATGTATTCTCTTCTCTCCTCTTCCTCTCTTTCTTTTTCTGCTCTATCTTCGAAGCATACGGAGTGCTCTATTTATAGAGCAACTCCAAGCACACATCTTTGACAAATGATCTCCACATATCAATATTTTGCCAAGGTTTTCAACCCTTTGGCAACGTTTTCAATGTTGTGGCAGGTATTCAATACTGTGGGCATTCATTACCCACTAGTATTTTCAACACTCCCCCTTGGATGCCCACATATCAACATGAGTTGCCTCTGATCTATTTTGGATGCTCCCCCTTGATGAGTATCTCCCCCTGATTTCAAATTATTTAAGCTGATCATTGATCCTGCTGCTTTAGTCTTTTAGCGGTGATAGTTGCCGAATGAGGTGTTTCACTTGTTGTTAACTTTCCACAGACTTGTTCTTGAACTGGGTTGGAGGGCCTTTCTGCTAGACTTCCTCCAAAGGTCTGAATTTACCTATTTTATCTGGAGCTGAATTTGATTCAAGGGTGGTGGACACTTGATCTTGAATCGGACTTGTGATTTCTTCAAAGGCCGTCTAGACTTGATCTTGAATGAAATTGGATCATGAGGAGCTTCATGTGACAAATGATCTTAGACTTTGTCGGGGATGAACTGAAATGTGTTTGTTGTGCTTGTCTCCACATGCTTCAATGTATCATTTTCACTTGCCTTAGTTGCTCCCCTTGCAGAAGTGGTATTTTCCTTATGCAGGTTTGACATCTTCTCTTGTAGTATTTGTCATCTGATACAGGAGTGGAATGCAAACCTTGTATTTGAATGGACCATCACTTCTTGGTGGCAGCGCAAG